TTTGAAAATGATTTAAGTTTATTCGGTGACGGTACTATTTTCCACCAACGTTGTGCATGTCATGTAATTAATTTAATTGTTAAATCCGGTTTAAAAGAAATGGGTAATCACATTAAAAGAATTAGAGATAGTCTTGCATGGATTCAAGATAGTAACTAAAGACAAGAAGATTGGTTTAGGTTCTTACAAGCATTAAATATACCTCATAGAGCATTAGCGTTAGATATGCCTATAAGATGGAACTCAACTTACATAATGCTTTAACAATGCATCCCCTATAAAGATGCTATAACAAACTATATGTGTGCAAAAGTATGAGTATGACATATAGACGCATATGATTGACAAATTGCCGAAGTTTTGTATCAATTTTTAGGTAGGTTTCATGAAGTGACTCTAAAACTTAGTGCAACATATTACCCAACATCACCTTTAGCTTTAGGAGAACTTTTACAAATTAGTATTTTATTTAGCGAATATAGAGAAGACCCAATCTTAGCAGTTCCTATCTATTCTATGGAAAAGAAATTTATAAAATATTGGTCTAAGTTGCCTTTGTTGTATGGTTTAGGTACTATTTTTGATCCTAGATTAAAATTAGAAGGTTTAGAAAGTGGTTTAGAAAACTTAGGTGAATTTTTAGGCATTAATTGTAAGGACCAATATCCAATAATAAAGGATAAAATATATTCGATCTATAGTAAATATGAGATTAGGTTTAGAGTACCTCATAGTGTACAGGAAACGCAACAACAAGACGAAAACCTGCATTCATTCTTGAATGTTTTCGGGTTGAAGAAGAAAAAGAAGAAGACAACTCAAACAGAAGCTGGGAGTGAATCTTCATCAACAAGTGGCAGTGGCAGCGGCGGCGGCAGTTTCAACGAGCTTATGGCATACCTCAGTGAAGGCTTAGTAGTCACGGCAGAATTGTTTGACTTAGTTCAATGGTGGAGGGCACAGACATTAACTTGGCCAATCCTAACTCGATTGGCAATGGATATATTTTCGATCACAGTCTCTATTGTTTCATCCGAACAAGCCTTCAGTACAACAGGAAGAATACTTGAGGAACGCCGGAATGCATTGCAAAGGGATATTGTTGAAGTCTTGGTTTGCTTTAAGGATTAGGATCGGGCCGATCAACGTCTACAGGATACAATTTCGCCGGCAAGCTAAGAATGGATTGATGAATTTAATCGATTAACATTTAATTTTGAAGACGATCCTTCACCTTCAAATTAAATTGTAAATTTGTAATTTGTAAATATGTATTTACTTTTGACATTGTATTTGTAATTGTAAAACTTTGTAAGTTTGTAAAATTTATAATTTGTCACAAAATGATTGCACTCTTTTTTTCTTACCAAGTTTTTATCCCAACTGAGTTTTTCTTGGTAAGGTTTTTAATGAGATAATCATGAATTACGAATTTAATACATCAATAATATACATGATTAATTTATTCAATTATGTTAATAATGTCTATTGAATGTTGATTTTGATTTTGACATAATTTTAACACAAACTAACTTAAAAATTATAAAAATTAAAAAATATTTTAAAAAAATTCGGGCAAATCAGGCAGGATGCTTAAATTTTTCAAACGAGTCGGGCTCGGGCAAAAATTCAATTTTTTCGGACGGTCACGGGCGGCCGTCCAAAGTTCAAGCACTCTCTCTCTCTCTCTCTCTCTCTCTCTCTCCCTCTCTCTCTCTCTCTCTCTCTCTCTCTCTCTCTCTCTCTCTCTCTCTCTCTCTCTCTCTCTCTCGGACGGTCACGGGCGGCCGTCCAAAGTTCAAGCACTCTCTCTCTCTCTCTCTCTCTCTCAAAGCCCAAAGCACCTCTCTCTCTCTCTCGTATATATAAAGCCCAAAGCACCTGAAATCTCCCACAAAAACTCCCAAACGTGAAATCAACAAATTAACTCAGAGTCGTCCTCAATCGTAGAGAAACCACAAAACAAAACAAAATTGATAGAGGAAGAACGAAAACGACAACGTTCCAAGACAATCTGCGTTGGCGTGAGTGGACTTGGGAGCAGCACAAGGAGTTCGAGCGCCAGCTGGCCACCATCCCCGGCGACATCTCTGATACCAATAGGCCGTGGGAGGCAATCGCCAGCCACCTCCCCGGCAAGTT